AGAAAAGTGCAACAGTGAATGAATGGAAATCCAAAATCTCTAAGTTTTTATTAAAATAAATAATAAAAAAAATTGAGAGGGGAAAAAACTCTTATAGTTTTACAAATCCAATGGGAGGGTCATTACGCGTGGGTATCCACTTGATGGCAGTCTACTGGTTGTGTAGAGCGCTCTGGTGGACTAGAGGTTAAAGGGACTCACTGCGAACCCAAAGGCACATAGTTCGAACCCAGCAGCTGCCTTGGAAGAAAGATGGGAGAGCTCCTCGTCTGTTACTTCTAGCCTCTAGAAACCCAGACAGGGTTCCGACTAGGATGGCAAGGAGGGGGAGAGGGGCGAAGTCCATGGAAGAGCCCTGGTGGTGCAGTGATTAAGCACGGGGCTGCTTTCCCAAAGTCAGAAGACTGAACCCACCAATGGATGCTCAGGAGAAAGATGTGGCTGTCTGCTTGCATTTAGGTTTTTGGCTTTGGAGACCCTGCAGGGCAGTTTCACCCTCTAGTCTCTGGGCCAGTCTACATTGATTCACCAGCAATGGGGAGGCGCAATCGGTTACGCGTTCAGCGACCAGCCCCAGGCTGTGGGCTCCGGTGCATCCAGAGGTGCCTTAGAAGGAAGGCCTGGAGATCTGCTTCCAAAAGTCTTGAAGATCCCGCTGTGCCCACAGAGGGCGCCCTTGAGTCAGAATCAGCTTGCAGGCCACTGTCACAACCATATACTCTGACTTGTGGGGACAACCGCGCTCTCCAAGGCGTTTTTTTTTGTTTTGTTTTGTTTTTTTTAGGGTTAGCAATGATAACTTTTATTAGGAAGTTACATTCCCAAAGGGACAGACCTTCCTCCCTTAAAAGGATTAAAAAGGTTTTCCCCTAAGACTTTTAATTTTTTTTACATTTTATTTACGTATGTATGTATGTATTTATTTATTTTCGTGCGTGTACCGTCAAATCAGATCTGACTAGTACAGGAGGAGATTGTCCCTCCTTCTCCAGCAGAGCATCTGGTGGATTCGAACCGCATACCTCTGGAATTGCAGTGCAGCTTCATGCCACTAGGCCATCAGAGCTTCCCCCCTCCCCCCAAGACTTTTAATAGCGAATTCTTCATAAGTAGATTGCCAGGCCTTTCTTCCAAGGTACCTCTGTGTGAACTCAAACTGCCAGTCTTTGAGTCAGTGGACAAATGTGTTAACCAAATGTGCAGCACCCACCCAGGGACAGCGTGAGGAAACTGAGACAAGGGCTGAGGTGACAGTGTCGTCCTGCCATACAGTAAGTGGTCTGTCCCCACCGGCAGGGTCATCTCACCAGGGTGCTTGAACGATTTAAAGACCCACTTTGAGGTTTACAAGCAGTTAAGGATGAAAGGGGGGGAGGGGTGGGCAGGGAGAAAAGTGTCATAAATAAATGAATGGAAATCCAAAGTCTGTAAATTTTCATTAAAATTAATAATAAAAATTTTTTAAAAGGGTGAAAGGGTTCTTGAAACCTAAAGGTCCCTGGTGGCACCAACAGTTTGCCCTTAGTGACTCACCTATGGAGGTCTGGTGGTCAAACCTGCAGGGAGGGGCTCTGCTAACCCACAGGGCACACCTCTCTGATGGCTCAAATCCTCCCAGTCTCCCCAAGAAGGATGGACAATCACCTCCGTGCAGTTTACAGCCTCAGAAAACCCACTGGAGGGTCAGCTGTGAGTCGGTGAGAGAGACTAACCTAAAGGTTGACAGTTCGAATCTGCACGGCCAGTGGCACCCTGGCAGAGAGGCCCAGCAATCTGCTTCTGTCAAGATGACAAGGAGACCACGTGGAGTAGTTTCTACTCTGTAATGCACGGAGCCAACATGTCAGAACCGATGTCAAGGAAATAGGTTCAGTTTGGTTTAACACTGCTCTAAAAATGTGTTAATATATAGATAAAAATAGAAAATTATATATACACACACATACATATATATATACTCTGTGTGTGTGCATACATCTATCTCTATATCTATCTCTCATCTCTCTCTCCCTCCCTACCTCTCTCCTCTCTCTCTCTCTCTCCACCTAGATATGATAGGAGAATCGATGCCTTTGAGTTGTGGTGCTGGAGAAGATTATTGTATATACCATAGACTGCTAAGAGAACAAACAAATTCATCCTGGACAGGGTGAAGCCAGGCTGCTCCTTGGAGGCAAGGATTCTGAAGCTCCGTCTGACATACTGTGGACATGTTGCAAGAAGGAACCAGTCCTTGGAGAGGGACATCATGCTTGGGAGGGCAGAAGGACAGCGCAGGAGAGAAAGACCCTCGATGAGATGGATTCAGTGACTGGGGTAATGGGGATAGGCGTGTCGGAGACAATAAGGTTGGCAAGAGATAGAGCAGGGTTTAGGGCTGTTGTACACAGGGTTGCTATGAGTCGACAGCTCATTAACAATAACAACAAAAAATATACATATAATATATAAATATAAATATGTAAATATAAACATGTAAATATATAAAGATGTAAATATAGAAACAAATATGTAAATATATAAATACAAATATAATTAGAAATCTGGTGGCCTAGAGGGTAAGGAGTTGTACTGTCAATTTAAAGGCAAGCAGTTCTAATCTACTAGCTGGTTCTTGGAAGAAAGATGGACAACCTCCTCCCGTGTGATTTGCAGCTTCTGAAAACTTGGTAGAGGATCAGCTGTGATTTGGTTCAGACTCTACAGCAATGAGAGGCTTGGTTTTTTTAACATTTATACAGAGATCTATATTCTAAGGTCTATTTTGCGATTGAAAACATGCTCTGAAAGGGATCTCTGGTGGCCTAGTGGTGTGTGGTTCGAATCCACCAGATCCTCTACTGGAAGAGAGACAATCACCTCCTGTACCTGTCAGATCTGATTTGATGGTACATGCACAAAAAGAATTAAAATTAAAGAAAAAAAGAAAACCACACTCTTAGAGCTTCAAAAGGGAAGTGGACAAAGCCGTTCAGGGTTTAGGACGCCAGCTGGGATTACCACGACACGTTAGGATTAAGCGCACTGAGGCTTAGAAAGCACTTTAAATCGTACAGAGCACGCAGAGATTAAAAGCTCCAGGGTTTACCGGCGAGTCGTGGCCACAAATGCATTGTACAGTCCTTGACTGGGATCCTGGATCAAAAACACAATCCGCTGGAAAGGGCCAAGTAGGGACATTTGAAAGTGGACTGAGCAAAGGGGCATCCCTGCTCTTCAAGGCATTGTTTGTGGGCCACTTAGTGGTAACCTCATCATGTCCTTATTAGGTGCTCCCAGCTGGGTCCGATCCACGGGGACCCCCCCAAATGTGGAGGCTAGAACTGTGCTCTGTATGATTTCCAAGGGGCCGCCTGATGGATTCAAACCCTCAACCTTTCAATTACTTCCACTACCTTTGAATGCATTCCAACTCATGGCAGCCTGTTAGAACTGAGTGCAATTGTCCCATATAGAGTTTCCAGGGCTGTAAATCTTAATGGAAGCGGACTGCCCCATCTTTCTTGCATCAGACACTTTACCACTGCACCAAGGCTTCTGGGAATCCTAGAGTCACCCCCACCCCGCCCCAGGCCTGCTGTATCAGTCTACCCTTTATCAAGTTCAAGTCTGAGAAGCCTCTGCCATCTCATATCGTTATTAGCAACTATGCTTGAGGGGGTTTTTCCACGGATGTGACATTTTGGAGGGAGATTGCCTGGCCTTTCTTCTGAGGTCCAAGCTTTTGGTTATTGTCATTATGTGCCCTTGAGTAGCCTGCAACTCTTAGCAACCTTATGTACAGCAGCCCTGAATCCTGCCCTGCCCTGAGCCACTCTCGCTGACTCCGACACACCTACCCCCATTGCCCTAGTTATGCATCAGTCCATCTTATCCGGGGGTCTTCCTCTCCTGCACTGCCCTTCCACCCTTTCAAGCATGATATCCTTTCTCCATGGACTGATTCCTCCTGGCCATGAGCCCAGAATACATGAGACAGAGCTTCAGAATCCTAGCCTCCAAGGAGAAAGTTGGTTTCACCCTCTCCAAGACAGACCTATTTGTTTTCTTGGCAGTCCATGGTATGTTCAAGACTCTTCTCCAGCGCCAGAACTCAAAGGCATCGCTGCTTCTTCTGTCATCCTTAGTCATTGTCCAGCTCTGTGATACATAGTAAGGAATTGCAAAGACCATGGCCTGGATCAGGCGCACCTTAGTTTCTAAATCGACATCATTGCTGCTCAGTACTCTGGAGAGGTCCCTGACAGCAGCAGATTTTCCCAGTGCAATGTGTCTTTTGATTTCCTGCCTGCTGGTGCCAAGAATGTCTTGGAGCTGAGCAAGCTTTAATAGTTAACAAGCTCAATCTAGAAACTGTTAATAATTTGATGTCATTTTAAGTTTCTTGGGTTTAAAACAGCACTGTGCATGCCGGTTATTACCAACTCATACATAGCTGACCCTCCGTTATGTTTTCAGAGGCTGTAAATCATGTGGGAGGAGATTGCCTTTCTTTCTCGCAAGATGCAGCTGGTGGATTTGAACTTCATTCACTTTGGGTGATGGCACTCAACAATTTAGGCTGGGATGTAGGCTGAGTGTGTAAATCTCACCTATATGAGTGACTCCGTGCCTTTCAACATCTGAAAAAGCACAGACACAGGCAGAGGGCCAGGTCTCCTCCTCTTACACGATGGGGGAAATGAGGGGAGACCTGGGCATTTTGGCAGGCATATTCTAACCTTCCAGTCATCCTCCAGGTTCCGGTCTGCAGGCTGGATGGACGCCACCACTTTCTCAGAGATCAGCACCTCCCCAGTATAGTTGTTAGTCAGCTGTGAGGATGGAAGAAGAGAATAAGCACAAACACACTTTCCTCCCCTCTCCTGCCCTCCTCCCTTCCAGATGGATGGATGTTGCAGCAGGAGGGATGGTGGTGAGACTACAGGAGGGACTGCCCAGCATAGGTACCTTGTCGATTTGTTGGTGGCTGGAGAAGGTGCTATTCCCCAGACGGCGTTCCTGGTTCTCCTCTTGGTGGTAGTTCCTGGAGAGGCCCCGGAAATCCATGGGAGGCGAGAAGAAGCTGTCCATGCCCCGCAGCAGGTCATCCTGGGGCAAAGACCCCCCTTCTCATGAGTTTTCAGTACTTCCTAAGCCCCTGGCCTTGAAGGTATTCTCAAGGTCCTGCTGTGGCCCTTCCAGTTCCTTCCTTCTCTGTTGTCAGTCCACCTCCTGCCCCTTGTCCCATCTGCCTCGATATGGCCTCCTCACTCTACCTGTCCCATCTCTATTGTGTCTTATTACTTTCCTGTTTCTGTATCTCATCTTCTGTCTTGCTATCTCCCTGCTTCTATCTCTTCATTCTTCCCTCTCTATCAATTATAAGGAACTTTACTGGCCTGGTGGTTTAGTTCTGGGCTGCTAATTGAAGGGTTGGCGGTTCAAACCCACCAGGTACTCTGCAGGACAAAGATGAAGTAATATGCTTCCGTGAGGATTCACAGCATTGGAAACTCTGTGGGCAGCTCTGCTTTGTCCTATAGGGTCGCCCTAACTTGGAATTGACTGGACGCAGTGGGTTTAGGGCTTTATCTATAACAAGAAAACATCTGCTACTCCAAAGGAGAAAGATGTGGCAGTCTGCTCAGTCTTGGGACTCTGGAGCAATTCTGTTCTTCCCTACAAGATCACAATACGTCTGACTGTACAGCAGTGGGCGTTTGGGTTAATAATTCTCTTAATATCTCTCCCCCTGTCTCTTCGTCCCTGCTTCCATCTCTCTCTCGTGTCTTCACCTCTCCTTCTTCCTGTCTCTCGATTCCCCTGTAGATAGATCTCCCTGCCGGTCAGCCTTCTGTGTGGCCTCGACCCATCTCCCAGTTTGTCTCCCACTGACCCTACTATCTCTTCTCCCCAAACCCCTCTCTCTCCATCCGTGTTCTCTGTATCCCTTCCCTGCCATCGCTCACTCTCAGAAAAAGTCGGGTGAAGCCTTGGAGTAGGCTCTTCAGGCTTAGCAAGCCCAAGGAATTCTCCTGGGAGTCTCCGTCGTCGTGGATTGGGGCAGCCGTGGAAGGGGACAGCAGGACAGAGGCGCAGAGCAGCAGCAGCAGGACTGGCAGGCGCCACATTTTGGCGTGGGCTGGTTGGTTGTCACAAGGGAGTTAAAGGCCCCGCCCACAGAGGCCCCGCCCACACAGGCCCCGCCCGCACAAGCTCCGCCCGCAAAGGCCCGCCCGCAAAGGCCCGCCCACATAGTCAGCCCCATCCCTAAACACAAGGTAGATAAAAGGCCCCGCCCACCGGGGGGACCCCTCCCATGGAGGCCCTGCCCATCTAGGCCCTCTCCCCCGTACCTCCCTCAAACAAGGGCTCCAGCCCCTATCTAGACCCCACTTCGAGGTGACCTCCCCTCCACCTAGACACCAAGGCATCCTCCTTTCAAGGCCTCTTTTATTTTTTAAAACAAGCCCCACTTGTCGCTGATCCACGACTTGTCCAGACAAAGACATACACCAACCCTCGGCTCCCCAATTCTCCCTCCTTTCTTGTATTTCTTTCATTCCCAGCCTTCTCCCTTCCACCTTTCCGTTAGGACCCACTCCCTCCTTCTAAATGGTCTGCCTCTTGCTCCTATGGCCTACCCAGACCATTGTCCACTCCCGCCCCGTCTTCTGAGCCCTTGTGACAGACCACAGTCAAGTCACCGACCTCTTGGACTTCAGTGGCCGTTTAAGGACTGTTAAATTCAAACACTTCTGGTCTCGAGCTCAAGCTGGACACTTAGGGTGTTGGCTGCACGAGCCCTAGCCACGCCCTCATGTACTAACCACGCCCCTCAAGGAGCCACACATTAGTTAATGGAGCTGGACGGGGGGAAGGGTGTCTAATGGCAAGAAGTTATTCTGCAATCCTGAAGGCTTGTGGTTCGAGGCCACCAGCTGCTCACAGGAAACCAGTCAGAGGATCAGCTATGGGTTGGTTCCGACTCCAAGGTACATAACAACAATTAAATATTGTAATTTATCTGAGCTCTGGTGCTGGAGAAGAGTATTGAATATACATACCACGGACTTTTGGGAAAACAAACAGGTTCAACCTAGAGAGGGTGAAACTAGGCTGCTCCTTGGAGGCAAGGATTCTGAAGCTCTTTCTGATATACTTTGGACAGGTTAGAAGGAGGGACCGACCAGTCCTTGAAGAGGGACATCATGCTTGGGAGGTGGAGGGACAGCGGAAGAGAGGAAGACCCTTGATGAGATTGATTAATTCAGTGCCTAGAGTAGTTGTGTCAAAGACAGTAAAGTTGGCTCAGGACAGAGCAGGCTTCAGAGCTGTTGTACATAGGGGTGGCTATGAGTCGCAAGTGACTCGAGGCCACATAACAACATTAAAATAACAATTAGTTAATAACCAGTTACCTAGTAGTTAATAACCATTACTTAATAACTAAGTTAGAATTGCTTGTTCTGTCCTAAGGCAACGCCACTCTATGGACAGATTCCACCTTATTGCTAGATCTATCTTGGAGACCCAGTTTTGTCTCTATTCTTTGATCTTAATTTAACTTAATTTCTTTTTATCCTTATAATGAGGGATTTCTGCCCCAATCTCAGGTGACCACACCCCTGTATTTTTTTTCTTTTCTTTTTTTTTTTTACTATTTTTTTAAAATTTTATACACCCCTGTATTTTTAAGTCACTCAGGGAGGAACTGGGAGCTCTCTTCGTTGGCCACTCCCCTAAGGTCAGAGCCCCGCCTCCATTCTTAATTACCCCGCCCTTTACGTGGGCAGTGCGCTTTCCTCTAGCCACGCCTCTCTCGTAGACCACGCCCCTACTAACCGAACTCAGTCTTCTGATTCCAAATCCTCCAGCTGCAGCCCCGCCTCCATCACAAAGGACCACGCCCTGTCTACGAGCCACACCCCCTCGCCTGGACCAAGTTTCTGTGCCGCAGACTCAAGCCCCCAAAATTGTTCAGTTCCCAGACTCCCTCTTCTCCTGAAATGCCCAACATTGAGAAATCCTTTTGGTTCGGTCGCTCACTCAATGAACATCTCTGTTCCTTTTCTTCGATTTATAAACGGTACCCAAGAGGGGGCAGTATAGGAACGCTGAATCAGGGACTCACTCCAGCCCATTAACACTAAAAGCCAGCCCGTTCCAAAACCTTAAATCCCAACTGTATCCTCTTATTTTCCAAGGATACAGGAATCCACCCTCTCTCCTCTAGCAGGGCATTTGGCACCCCGGGAGCTCTAGATCCCAGTCCTTCTTTTTGTTTGTTTTAATTTAATTTTTTTTTTTTAAACAACTTTCTCACTTGTAAGCTGATTTTTTTTTTTTTTTAATTTTGTGTGTGTGTACCGTCAAATCAGATCCGACTGGTACAGGAGGATATTGCGCCTCCTTCTCCGGCAGAGCGTCTGGTGGATTCGAACCGTGTTCCTCTGGGATTGCAGTGCAGCTTCTTGCCACTAGGCCACCAGAGCTCCCCTAATTTAATTTTTTAAAAAGTTTTATTTATTTTGTCAAATAAAGAGAGAGGGGCCTAGTGGTAAGAAGCTGCGCTGCAATCTCAAAGGCACCTGGTACGAATCCACCAGTTGCTCTGTGGGAGGAGGATGGGAAGTCTCCTCCTGTGCGATTTACTGCCTTTGGAAAACTCTGCAGGGTCGGCTAAAGGTTGATTCTGATGCGACAACACACAACAACAACATATGTATAATCTAGAGAAACTGATGATCTTCAAGTGGTGAGATAATTTTCACATTCTTTTTCTTTTTTTTAATTTTTTTTTTTTTTTTTACGTGTACCGTCAAATCAGATCTGACTGGTACAGGAGGAGATTGCCCCCTCCTTCTCCAGCAGAGCATCTGGTGGATTTGAACCGCGTACTTCTGGGATCACCTTCTTTTTCTAAGTTGTTACTGCTGCTAATTCAACTCACTGCTGAGTTAGAATTGGCTCATAGCTGACCCTCCAGTAGGTTTTGAGAGGCTGTAAATCCCACGGGGAAAAGCTGCCCATTTCTCTCCCATGGAGGGAGCAGCTGGTGAATTCAAACCACCTGCCTTAGGCTTTGCAGCACAACTCCTTATCCCAGGCCACTCCCTAGAAGCTCTCCCAAAGTTCGGGTCTCATCTTTCTGGTTGCTGTTGTCAATTTCATCTCATATAGATAAATCTTTTTTCTTTCTTCTCTTTTATTTATTAATTACATATTCTCTCCTCCTTCCCCAGCCCACCCTGCCATGCACCCTTGTTCTAGATTATTCTCATACATATTCATAGTAATACATTCATTTCAGACAATTCTTCCCCTCATCTGATCTAATGCAGTGTTCATTATCTATCCACTTTCTCCCTTTCCCTTCCCCAACCCTTCCATGTCTGTCCAATTTTATAACAGCAGTGTTATGCATTACTTATCCTTGTGTGACTGAGATATTTCCCATAACATAATGTCCTCAAGTCTCCCTCATGTTGTGTAATGTTTTACTATTTCATTGCTTTTCAATGTTGTGTAGTATTCCACTGTG